CTTTAGTAAACTTGAGCCAAGAAAGATTCATCGTACATCAACTTCTCCATGAAACTTCTGTATCACCATCAAAATGTTTTCAGTTTGCATACGTAATGAATATAGTGTTTTGGTTGCGTAGTTGCAGTCCAGCGGTCTCAAACTGGCTGCCCCCAAAAGGAATTTTACGCGGCTGCCAAGTACTTCGGTTTTGCAAAAATTTCAAGAATTTAATTATTTGAAGTCCTCGTTTCCATTATGCGTGCAACTTTATAGAAAATTGATGGAAAGAAGGGAATGAAAACTTAATTTTTATAATCTCCTAAAACAAGAGTATGCCTTTTGGTGTGTTGAGATGAGAATTTTTTAAATGCTTGATTAATAATGTTGGGTGAAAAGCCCCTGTCAATAGCTACTGCTTTTAAATAATTCAGTTCTTCATCAAGAAAGAGATAGTTTGGAGGAGCAAACTTGAAGAGCACGGAAAACATAGGAATAAAATGAAGCTAACTTTTGTTTAGTCGGATGACATGATTTGAAATGTGTCTGGAAGGCAAACCGATGAAAGGTTTACGGTAAACCGTAGTACTGAAGTTGGATGTGTTACGTGTGACCAGAATGCCGAGAAACGAAAGAGAATTGCAAGTCTCAAGTTCAGAAGTGAACTGAATAACAGGATCAATGAAATTCATTGGCATTCATTTTCTTCCAGTGGTTGGAAAATCGAGACTTTTGCGCGGTTGTCAAAAACGTTCCTGTTTGCGCGAAATCGTTAATCTTCATTACCCCCCTCCCAAAGGGGTTCCATAATGGGGGTCCAACTGGGCGTTGGCCTCTTCCGAAATGTAGGAAAGCAAAAAATTTTTAGATTTAAAAAAAGAATTTTTAAAAGAAATAATCGAAAGATATTTACGAAGTCTGAGTCTTTGTATATCTTTGCATAAATGAAGTACTGTATTTAAAAGGGAAGAGATGTTCAAACTCTGCGATGATTTTGGCAATGAACTAAAAGATCGTTTCCTAAAGTAAAAACAGTATTCTTCCGAAATTCTGCATAAAGGTGAATTATAATAAAATCTCAGAATATATATTCGTTGCGAAAAGAAAGGCAGATGAGAAGAAAATATACCTCGAATATCAAGGCAGCTTCTGAGAAAGCTTTGTCCTAGCCAAAAGAAGCTTTTTTTTTCCTAGCTGTTATTAATTGTCAAAGGTAAATTTGTTAGTTTCAAAGATTTAATTCAGAAATTCCAGAAGCATAGCGCACGATTCAGCAGTGATTGTATATATTTATCATACTAATTTAAAATAATTAATTATGTGTATATACTTGTTAGTAATTATTAACTGTAAATATAAATAGTTAAAGAGTATATTTTAAATCATTTATTTTTATATACACATCTGTATATAATGAAATTGCTAATTATTATCAACTTATTTGATATTATTTCATTTTAAAATGCTCTTTTTCTAAATCTCCTATTCATCTAGCTTCTTTTTTAAGAGAAACTGTACTTTGTGAGTCACTTTCAATTCCAATTGTAAATACGATTCGCAATTTAATTTATTCGTATGGTGGCAATATTAAAAACTTCGGAAACACTGGTTCAACAGTTGTAATTGAAGAGTAAGTACAATCAGCTTCTTTAAGGCAAATATCAGACGACTTGAGTTTACTCTGACGATGGATATTTAAAAAAGTGGAGAATTCAGTATTCGTCGAATATTGCGATATTCTGATAATCCCTTAAAATTCGTGCTTTCAAAATCTCTGATAATGCCTTAAAATGCATGCTACGATTATTTTATAGAAAATTTAATAAATTTGAGTACTGTGTGACATTATTAAGTTTAATCAATGCAACAAACCTGAAAAATATGCAGTGCCCTCCCCGAGTCTCGAACCCTGGACCTCTCGAATACACGCCCGAGTATGCTTCCAATTAATCACGAAGGTGGCAGAAAATACTTTATAACTAAAATTATCAATTTAATAACAGAAAATTCAACTTTCCTTCACACTTTTCCAGGCTTAGGACTGGCAGTAAAAATACTGGCGTGTTTAAAAGTTGTGTGATGTTAGTCACTTTCCTTTTTTTTAAAAAAAAATATTATTAAGTTATTTTTAGAGAAAATTTTCATATGTTTTAATCGAATTTTTGTAGATAAGAAAGAGATAATAAGCACTTTCTTATATTTTGTGATGAGTAAAATTCTTGCATAATACGTTGGATTCTTTCCTCTTTTTTGACCACACTTGTTTTCCTTCTTTTCCCTTCTAAATTTACATAACGACGATCTATAAAATAATCACTTTCTTTAGCTTCGTTTTTCAAAATTTTATCAGTTCTAGAGTTTTAGGATGGATTTTCCTAATAACAGAATTTAATTTATGATGCCATCCTTCAACAATATATTTTTTCCTGTGCAATTTTTCATTGCAGTTCCACATCTGTATAGTTACGACGTCATTTTCAAGCCACTGCTCAACAAAGTAATCATAAAATGCCTCTAATCTTGCATTACGAGGTGAACTTTCTTGTATGCACAGTGAACCATCATCGACACATTCCGCGGGTATGTATGCAAGGGTTCTCACATTCTGAGATGGGTTCTAATTTCTTCATTATGCCTGCATTCGTTAACAAGTCCCAAGTCTTGAATCTTTCTCCGCAGAGACTGATTTAAGTGGAAATTGCAACCTTTTATATTTAAGGAAGGAAAACTATTTTTCAGTGAAATTATAACTGCAATTTCAAAATCCATCACAATTTCTTTAGGATCCCAATCAGAAATAGGATTTTTAATTAAACGAAATAATCTCTCATAAGTCTGCTTTCGCTTACCGGGAAGTAAGCAAAACAACACAGGAACAACATTAATCTCGTTAGAGGTACTTCCAGTATCAACATAGTATAAATTTGAGAGAAAAGCTTTGAGCAACTTTTAAAAGTTCCATCCATAAAGAAAGTTTTGCCGCTTTTCATTGCTTCCCTCCCCTTCTTACTTGAAAATACCAAAATTCGGCTATCTTTTAAATCATCGAACAACAAAAAACTAAAGTTATCATCCATTGCTAATAATTCATTAGGAATTTCTAAATCTTCCATACATGTAGCTTCTCGATCGTATCCTTCGGCACTTTGCCTAGATTTGTATAGAGCTGTTTTAACACTTGAAAATTGCGGAATATTGGTTAATATGTCAAAGCCTTGATTGTATAGTTTTCCAACTTCTTCATTGTAAATTTGAGAAAGTGGAACATTTTCTTCTTTCGCTCTCATTTTTGCTACAAATATTTGTTTTTTTTTACTAAAGAATGTGCTGTATCAGGTTGACATTATAAATTTTTTCTTCTAAAACAACTTCTTCCTTGGTCTTAATTGAGCCTTTGCAGCTTTTAGTTTTTTCATTTATGCAAATCCAATAAACTACATTTTCCTTATTTCTATTCCGAATTCGATATTGATAACCTTTGTAAAGGGCTAAAGGCTTTTTCCTTTTAGTTTCAATAATCTCTAAAACATGCATACTGATTTAGATACGAAAATAACAGCTAATACTAAAGATTTTAAAGTGTAATGAAACTAATGATTTCGAGAGGAGCCTAAACGTCTTCAGTCTAACAATGTCAAGACGATGACTAACTTATTCACAAAGGAACTGCCCAACTCTTCTTAATGACTCATCCTGACATCCCCTGAGGAACTCTGGGAGGGGGAATGTACTCCCCGATTTCCCGCAAACAGGAAGATTTTTTTAAAAACGCGGAAACAGGAAACAGGAATCGCGGAAACAGACCTAAATCATGTGCATCTCTCTTTCGCTTTAAAAGTGATTGAAGTACATTGTTTTTATGCTTCGGTTAAGGTTTTTATATCCTTTAGTTAATCCGCCTGCAATAGTTGTAGAATTATCAACAATTTAAAAGTCGTTTAAGTTCCACTAAGCCTACGTCGCCGCCACTTGTTCACATTTGAAACTCGGTAGCATAGTGCATTAAGTCACTTTTTGTACCAACTTGAGTGCCTTTTTGCCGACCTAGGCCAAAAGTTTTGTGCACCGACAAATCTGTCTTTCTACCTATTTCTAATTAAATTAAACTATAATTTTAACTGCAAACATTTTGCTAACGGTTTTAACTCTATTTGGTGTTTTAGGTTTTTCTGAATTTTACAATTTTTAATGAAGATGTTATAAATTTTTATGTACTTTTCCTTGCCGCGAAGTGAGAACTGAATTGACTGAATGAGAACTATATCTCCCTAATGAAATTCAGGGAAATAAGTTTAAACGAAAAAATGTGCATAATTTAATAGGTCGTACCAGGAAGTCATGTAGTGTCCACATCAGAATTTTTATCTTGCACACACACATATATATACACATATAATCAGCTTTATAATTTAATTTAGTAATAGCCTCTTAATTCCTTATTCTTAATTCGAGTATTTCCTCTCCATTTCGAAAATAGTAACTTTTTTGGACTGCGTCATTTCTAGATCAATCTATGCCACATGGCTTGACTAACGCTCATGACGTAGCTAATTCGGAATTGAACTCAAAATTTTGAGAACTAACGCCTTTCTTACCTAAGCCAAAATCTTCTCTTGGTGAGCTTCCATATTGGATATTTGAGCACTTTAGTTTCGCTCTTTTCCTGATAAGCTGCTATTTTGTTCTGCTCTCTTCCATCGCAATGGTATCAAAATGTAAATGGATTTTAATAGGCACGATCAAATTGCCAAGTAAATTGTAGCTGCGAGCGTCAATTGAAATGAGGTTAAATATTGAATCTTACTGGCTTCTAAGTTTCCTTTTCAATAATGGATCTATGTTTCTATTAATCAACATTTTCCTGACAACAAAATGAAAACAATGTAAAAAAAGAACAATTATTTCACTCATCTCCTCCTGTGTTTTCAGTTTTTCCTTGCGATTTGATATTATCTCAAACTGCTGATAGATAATAAACGTGAGGTGAGCTTTAACAATGAGACAAAATTCACAGCTACATGTTTAATGTAAATGATTCATTTTTTTAATAAATGCATATGAAAATATATAATAAATATACACACATGAATACAGTCCACAAAAATGTCACAAAAGTAGCGAAAAATTATTCTTTTTGGTATAACCTTCCTCTGTTTTTTTCATCAGATTATACAATATTCAAAGATGAAATACACATAGTAACATATTAGAACACTATTTTTTTTTTTTTTTTTTTTTTTCTCAGCTATACGCAAAAATCAATAGAAAGTGTTCTGAGGGAAGATAAAGTTATAAATTTATTCTGTTAAAAATCACAGCTTTTGATTTTCTTAGTACGTACATAATTTAACAAATAATGTTTTATGTTTTTAATTCTAATTTCTATTAGACTAAATTATATAAAAATTTTGGACAAGCTTTTTAATTTTTCTGTTTAATATGAATGAATCAGCTAAATATCTTTGAAAAATCACTTTTTATTACAATTTTTCTAACATTTTATTATAAATTAAGTCACTAAATGAGAATTGAAATATGTTTAAAGTATTTACTTTTATTATAAATTTAACTTATTTAATATCTACTTATGGCATTAAATACGCCTTATTAATACAACTAGTCATAACAAATAAAAGTCGCTTTGTTAATTTGGTTTATATTTGATATGTGTATCTACTGGAACTTAAACCGCAAGAAAAACACCATGTTAAAAGATACTTTGCATCTTTGCCTTTATATGACAACACACGCGTCAAAAATTTTGTTACAGAAGGATATATACGCCAAGGTTGCCTACTGGCTACTATTAAATTAAAAGTATTGCTCTTAAAGCAAATATTGTCAACATAATAAATAGAATGATATACTACTGTAATAAATAGAATGATATACTACTGTAAGAATTATCTATTGAAATAATTAATCTAAGAGATATGTTTAGAAAATTTTTATCATAGTCTAAATGAGCTGATAACAAAAGTATGTTTTATCTCCAGAAATATCAAGCTAGCATATGTATACATCTTTTCAAAGAAAATTGTTTGGAGTGTGTTATTCTATAACGTAAAATATAGGATGTTTCACCATCTAATGGATGGAAATGCTTAATTTCAAAAACTGCTTCCCGTGAAATATATTCTACAGGTACATACATATCACATCCGGAAATATATTAAAAATAAAGGAAGGTTCGGGAAAATAGGAAACATTCTTTTGCTTTTATAGACCCAGAAATTACAATCCCATTCTACTAAATAAGTTACTACAAGTAAGAATTTCGTTTTTCAGACAGCACACTACAAGTGAATTCTAAGGAATACAGAAGATTTTTTTTTTTTTTTTTTTTTTTTTTTTTTTTTTTTGGCATAATGCTGTTAAGACAAAACGTCAGCAGATTTCCGGGCTACAATATTCAAGAATTCATCTCTTCTTGCCCCTTCACAGCAAAATTTTGCTTCTCGAGTCTTGTGCTTCTTTTTGCGTCCGATGTTTTCTTTACTTTAACTACAGTAACTTGATTGAGAGTTCTTTTAACGGCTTTATTGACAGAAGGTGCGATGTTATATTCGAAAACGTTTTTTGGAGAATCTGATTTCGGATATGACGTGGTAGAAAGTTCGTTGACTGTTATTCGATTTTCTAGCAACTTATAAATTTGCGCATTTGACGATTGCAGCGCCAATTCGAACGCAGAACGTCCCGAATAATCTTGTGTTTCCGCACTAGCTCCGCATTCTAGTAGCAGACTTACCATTTCTGCATTTTGATCCAAGACAGCGTGAATAAGCGCAGACCTGCCACTCTTTCCATCCTAGAATTAAAAAGAAAGATGAATATTATTACATCAAATGAATTAATGATATTTATTGAAATTCCGCATTAAGGTAGCATAAAAAGGATTAAGATATACTGCTAACAGATATCAAAATAATGTACTCAGAATTATAGAAAAATATAAAGGGTAAAGTCAGCAAGAATGGTCCTGTTATAAATGGCTAGAGCCAACAATTGCAACTGGTATATACAGTAATAACTCGAAATAATTCGATAAGTAGGATTTGTAGTGCCGCTTCAGTTCCGTTAAGTTTCTAATGAAATTTAGTTAAAGCGGAATGGCAACACCTTCTAGTCTCCGCGAAGAACGAAGTAAACAAACTTCGAGTTTTTGTCACGCGATGCTACGTGCATGTTGTAGAAAAAAGAGATAGAAGGCGCTGCGCCGCCCGTATGTTTAGCTAATTAAGAGTTTCGACAGAGAGGGTTGAGAGGTTGATGAGAGTGGTTGAGAGTGACATAAACTAGATACTCTGTAATCTGTATATAATATTTGTACATAGTCTTCTCTTCATTAAATAGATTTAGTTAAAGGAAAGTGTCTTTGTTTGGCCAATAGAACACAAGAACCACCGATAAAGAAGATGTAAGTAAGTTATTACATATATACAAGTTTTTGGTAGCATCAGGCCAGAAGGTGAGTCATTTCATTTATCTGCATGCAATTTATCTATGAAAATGAGTTCTGAAGAAACCGTCGAGAGAAATAGAAAAATTAGAGGTTCGGTTCGTACCAGTGTAACAAAATTAATAAGGAAATTAGATAAGGAATTGCAAAGCGAGAATCCGAACCTAGAAGTGTTGCAGGAATCGCTTTCAGTGTTAATCGAGAGAGAAACTAGCTTGTTAAAATATGATGAAGTTATTAATGCTCAAAGCACTGTTCAGGAATTAGAGACAGAAGTAGAACATTGTTTAGAATACAGCGAATCCATCATTAGATGTAAATCTAAAGTCAATAGATATATTCAAAATGTGGGTAAAAAACCGGAACAACTTCACAAGTTTCGGAAATCAAAACTAATTATAATACTAAATTGCCTCGCATTACCTTAGAAACTTTCAGCGGCGATTTATGTAAATTTACTGAATTTTGGGCTCAGTATAAAGCTGCCATTCACGAAAACAATACGCTTCAAGATGTTGAGAAGTTTAACTATTTAAGATCTTTACTCACCGGTTCAGCTGCAAAAGCTATAAGCGGATTGCCATTAATAGGAGAAAAAAACTATATAAAGGCCATCGAAATCTTAACTGACAGATTTGGGAAAAAAGAAATATTAGTTAGCGCGCATATGAACGTTCTCCTAGCTTTAGAGTCAGTACGCCGATCAAGTGATGTATCCAGTTTAAGAAAACTATATGATGAAATAACAGTTCAAACAAGAAGTTTAGAGACATTAGATATTAATTTTAATTCTTACGGCAATCTATTACTTCCTATTTATATAAGTGTATACCGCAAGATTTAGTGTTACAGTTTAGTAGGGAGCAAAAGGTCGACACAGAGTCAACAGTGTCAGTTGTATTAACTGACACTATTGTTGTTTCTAAAGAGTTGTTGTTTATTTATTATTATTTATTTATTGTTGCTTAATTTATTATTGTTTCTAAAGAGAGAAGTAGAAGCGCGCGAAAAGTCACTTAACTCTGGGTCTTAAACAACAAACACTTTCGATAACCAGTGAAAGAAATACCGACAACTATCGTAAGAGTGTTGCTCCAATTAAAAAGAAAATGGTAACAGCGGCGGCGACGCTTAATATATCAGTCGAAAATTATATGTGCGACTTTTGTCTTAAATCTCACCTCTCAAAAGACTGCGACTTAAGTATTTCAGAGAAACACACAAAGCATTTATACGATCAATTTAAGTGCAAGCGCTGTTTAAAAAAGGGTCACAAAAAACCATTTTGTAAAGGCAAAATGGGTTTTTGTTAAATGTAATATTTGCAAATCTTTGTCGCATTTAGAGAGCCTGTGTGATGCAGATGGGCAAGAAAATAAATCCATTAAAAAATACTGCGAGCGCAGCAAAAGAAACAAACGTTAGTTCACTATTCCTCGAAACACTGAGCAAGCAAATTCCTAATGACGTGATTTATTATCAAACATTGAGAGGTCCAACTGGTAGGAAATTCAATTCCACATTTAACGTTAGGTTGTTATGCGATTCTGCTTCCGAAAGATCTTATTTTTGTCAGTCTATTTCCAGAAAAGCAAGTTTACCAACTATTGGTAAAGAAAGATTAAGAATTCATACATTTGCATCTTCGAATCCGCCAGTGCGAGAATTTAAAAGAAAAGACTTTCTCTTAAAAAATAAGACAGGGTTCACTCTAATCATCGAAGCACTCGAAGTAAAAACCATATGTTCCAATGCATTACCCAGGCCATCTGCAGAAATTATAAACAATCTTCGCCAACAAGGATTTCACTTATCTGACAGCTGCGATAGTGAAGTGGCAGAGGTACAGATTTTAATTGGGAATGATTACTTGAACTGCATCTTAACGGGGAAAACACATCGGTTAACAGACTATTTAGTACTGCATGAAAGCATATTCGGTTGGACGTTGAGTGATAGAGTGGGGGGAGAGAGTAAGAAGCTAAGTTCAGGGTCAGACTCCACCGGCTTGTTTATACACATCGATTCGGAAGAAGAATTAAAAATATCAGAACAGATTCGTCAACTTTGGGAGATTGAAAGTCTAGGAATCTCTGAGTGTGCGTCGGAAAGGAGTTCTGGCGATGAGCGAATAATTAAACAATTTGAAGAGGATTTGAAATATGTAGACGGAAGGTATGAGTCTCGCTTGTTGTGGAATAGGAGTCCAGAGCATTTGGAAAATAATTTTGGTTTAGCGAAAAGGCAGTTCGAAAGGGTGCAGCGAGAGTTAAAAGGTAACAGCTTTGTGAGGGAACATTTTATGGAAATAATTAAATTTCAGACACAAAACAACATTATTCAAGAGTGTGAGGATACGAGAGAGGGGTACTTTATGCCATTCCGAGCAGTGGTCCGTAAAGATAAAAAAGGCACTCAAGTTCGAATGGTAATTAATTGCAGCAGTTGCGAAAGAGGAAAGCTATCGTTAAACGATTGCTTAGAAAAGGGCCCGAACCTAAATCCGAATATTTTGGATATCATTCTTGCCTTTCGAAAATTTAAAATTGGATTCTGCGGTGACATAGAAAAGGCGTTTTTGATGATTGGGATAGCAAGGGAAGATAGGCAATATTTAAAATTTCTCTGGTATCCTGATAATGACAGTGAGAACTTTAAAATTATGCAAATGAACAGAGTATTATTTGGATGTAATTGTTCACCGTTTTTTTATTGGAGTGCAACGATCAAACATCATTTAAAGAAATATGCGGAAACAAAACAAAAACTGTGTCGAGATGCTAAATAGCTCACTGTATGCAGACGATTTGTGTTATGGAGGGGAAAGTGTAGAATCAGCTTTCAGTCTTTCATCAGAGGCGGTATCTATTTTGAGAGATGCGAGTTTTAATTTGAGAAAGCTAAACACTAATTCTAAAGAGCTGTATGACTTGTGGGTTCATGAAGGGTTGTGTGAAGAAAGTAGGTCTGAGAGAGATAGTAAGTTGAAAGTGTTAGGCTTGGTGTGGAACTTAGAAGAGGATGGTTTGAAAGTAGACGTTACATCATTGTTGAGTAGTTTAGAATCGTTGAGAAATAGTAAAAGATCGGTGTTAAGCACAGCAGTTAAGGTGTTTGACCCAGTCGGATTTATTTCTCCATTTGTGGTGCGAGTTAAGAGACTGATGCAGGAAATATGGGAGAGAGGTTTGGAGTGGGATGCAGAGTTGCCAAAGGAGTTACGGTGCAAATGGATAAAGTGGTGCGCTGAAATTGAGGAATTAAACGCGTTGAAAATAGAGAGGTACTACTTTACAGAAGTTCTAAGTATAGGTCAGTCGGTTGAATTCATATTTTCAGTGATGCGTCAGTAGTGGCATATGGAGCCGTGGCATATTTTAGATATAAGAATGAGAGAGGAGAGGTATGTACGTCGTTTATAATGTCGAAGAGTAGGATAGCTCCGTTAAAAAAGTTGTCCCTCCCTAGGTTGGAATTGATGGGGGCTGTAGTTGCAGCTAGGTTAGGGAAATATTTATTGAAAATGTTTCAGGATTTGGTAGGTAGGTTAGTTCTGTGGACGGACTCCGAAATTTGCTTGTGGTGGATAAAGGGAGTGGAAGCAGTTCGTGTCGAATAGAGTTGCAGAAATACAAGACTGTACCTCGCCTGATAAGTGGAAATATTGTCCAGGGTCGGAAAACCCAGCAGATAAATTAACTCGTGGTGAAACAGCAAATGCATTGGTGAAAGATAATAACTGGTGGCATGGTCCATCATGGTTGAAAGATTCTGAAGATCAATGGCCTGAGCAGAAGTTTAAAGTAGAAACTGATACTCAAAATTTGGAGCGTTTAAGCACTTACGTTCAGATGACTATTCCAGAAGAAGAAAATGCGTTAGACATTACCAAATTCAGCAGTCTCGAAAAATTGTTGAGAGTTACAGCTTGGGTAAAGCGGTTTGTCGCCAAGCTAAGAAAACGTGTCTGTGAAGAAGGTCCTCTTACTGTATTGGAGATCCAAGAAGCTGAGGTACTGGATAAAACAAGTACAGAGAGCGAATTACTTTTCGGATATTCGACAACTAGGGAGGAATAATCTAATAACACCAGATTCTAAGCTTTACAGTTTAGCACCATATCTGGACAGTAGAGGTATTTTGCGTGTCAGAGGTCGTTTGGAACAAGCAGAATTAATAGATGACGAAAAACATCCCATTATTCTACCCAAAACGAAGTTCACCGAACTAGTGATATTTAGTGAACACATAAAATTATTCCATTCAGGAGTCATGGCAACATTGTCCAAAGTCAGGAATAAATTTTGGATACCTAAAGGAAGACAAGTAGTAAAGAAAGTTATTAACGC